TAATGATCATACTACTACTACTACTGCTACTAATCATAATAATAATAATATTAATTAAAAATATTAATAAGATCATAATAATACTAAGAACCATAATACGAGTAAGACTAACAATAATAATATGATGGAAAATAACAAGACGACAACGAATACTACTACTACTACTACTAATAATAATACTAATACTAATAATACTACTGCTAATAATAATTTTAATAATAATACGAATATTACTAATAATAATACTAATAATAATAATACGAATAATACTAATAGGAACAATAATAATAATAATAATCATACTAATAATAATAATACTAATCATACTAGTAATGATAACACTAATAATACTACTACTAATAATAATAGAAATAATAATACTTATAATACTAATAATAATAGTAATAATAATAACAATAATAATACTACTACTAATAATACTAATAATAATAAGAGGAGGAGGAGGAGGAGGAGGAGGAGGAGGAGGAGGAGGAGGAGGAGGAGGAGGAGGAGGAGGAGGAGGAGGGGGAGGCGGAGGAATTGGAGGAGGGAGAATTCGGAGGAGGAGGAGGTGAAGGAGGATGAGGAGGAGGAGGAGGAGGAGGAGGAGGAGGAGGAGGAGGAGGAGGAGGATTTGGAGGAGGAGGAGGAGGATTTAGAGGAGGCGGAGGATTTGGAGGAGGAGAATTCGGAGGAGGAGGAGCAGGTGGAGGAGGAGTAGGAGGATTTGGAGGAGGAGGGTGAGGATTTAGAGGAGGCGGAGGATTTGGAGGAGGAGAATTCGGAGGAGGAGGAGGAGGAGGTGGTGTGTGCATATATATATATATATATATATATACGTATGTAGCGAGCGATCTCGATGATCAACGACAAGGGACAAAGGGCCAACCTAGGAGGCAGCCTATGCCACCTAGGTTGACGGGGGGACGACAGGAGGCGCAGGAGGGCGCGCGGGTGGGGGGAGAAACAGGGCGGCGCCTGATGGCGGCCACGGCCGCCGCGTGGTCGGCCGCGACCGCGCCGTCCCCGAACGGCGCCACGCGCCGCGCGCGCGGGGCCGCGCTCGCCGCTCTCTCTCCCTCCCCCTCTCTCGCTCTAGCCCTCTCCTTCCGCTCCTTCCCCAACAACAAGACTGCCAGGGACCTTGTCCTGGGAAATCCTGGGGAGATTTTGGGCCCCCGCCTCGAGGCGGCCCGTACAAACATTCCCGAGCTCACGCAAGTGCTGTGAAGAATACGCTCCACACGTCAAACACCACAGCACGTTAGCCTCAGGCCAGAACGCCACGGCATGGGACGGGTCCACAAGACGACGCATTGCAGCCGTCGGACGGAAGACAGAACCTGACCAGGCCATGGGCGTACACGGCGCATTCAAACACGCTGTCAAGTCACGGGCGGTCGAAGAGCAACCGCACTTCTGACGCTGCGCGAAGTCTCCACACATCATGGGGCACTTATGGGACGACCTCACCGCAGCAGCACGCAAGAACTGACGAGCCGATCTCCGAACCTTCTCTTTGGGGGGTCGGGGAGGGCGTCTGCCCTCACGCTCCAACACATCTGACATCACGTCGAGCAAATGATTCTGCACCTTTCGAGCGAGACCATCAGCGAACCTGACGGGCGCCGAAACCGCATATCGGACCTGAACCTGCCTGCTTCGCGAAATGACTCGCAACCCCGTCAGCCACGGCATTCGCCAACACGACTCCAGGGTTCAGCCCGCGGTAGATGGCATCCTCAACTTTGAGGTGGCTCGGAATCTGGATGAGAACCACACCACCAAGCCGATCCAGAGCGCTCTGGACACGGCTCCAGAGATCAACGTGTGCCTGAATTCGCTTCAAAAGGCCGTCCTGGACACGAGCGAAGCATCGGGCAACATAAGCCGAGTCCGCTATATAACCCAGACACGCCTGAGGGTAAGCAGACTCCAGGAAAGCCAAGCGGGCCCAGAGCTCCCCACGATTCGCAGACTGCTTACCCGTGATCCCGCCCCCTCTTAAAAACTTATGCTGGCATCCGACACGGGGGGGGGGGGCAGGGTTAACACATCATGGCCAGAAGCCGCGACGCCCCAAGACACCCGCCTCAGACGCTTACAGTCGGGGCCCTGAAGAAGGAACCCTTTTCGTTGGGGAGGGGCTCCGTGTTCCTTAAGTGTTTCGCAGCTTGTCTCAGGTGTTCCTTTTGTTTTCGATCGGACATCGAAGTTTAACTTATGGAGAAAAGGGGCCTCGTTCCTTATTTTGGGTTCCTGAGGTCAACGCCCCGACTGTATCCCTCGTAAGCTCCCCACCGCTCGCGTCCCCAGCGCACCAGATGCGAGTTCCTTCAAAGAGGACCAGGAACACACGCACCAGCGGCAGAGAGGAGCGGGTCGTCGGGGATGGGGGGAAAGGACGTGCGTCCACTCGCGGGGCACGAGACCGCGAAGCCAGAAGCAGGGCATACCTCAGGAGGAAAAGAAACACACAGACACAATTAATCTTCGATTC